ATTTTGATTTCTACATGCGACATCTCTCAAAAACACTTTTGGAGCCAGAAGATAGAAAACCTGTCTGGCAGACAAGTTTGGACCTTATAAAGAAGACAATATTCCTGGCTGCCAGTTTAAAAAACTGGCTGGCAGACCAAAAAATAAACTTACCAAATTGACTTCTGGGAGCTCAGAATCCAAAATCTTGGCCGCCAGCCAGGTTTTTTGTCTTCCTGGGTCCTGGAAGCTTAGGGTAGTGGTTGATCAACTTTGCGGAGCATAGGCCACTTGTAAAACCTGATTTGCTTGAAACGAGTCCGAGTCGTAGTTAAGAACGAAACGGGCCAAACGTAGTTGAGGTTTAATAGTGTATATACAGGAGTACATCCCTCCGTGTTGACATGTTGCGTCTTGTGTAATGATGTAGCTAGCTGAAAATGCTGAAAACATTCATTCTGACTTCATTGACTTTCGGCTCACTGAGTGCTTGACCTGTGGGTCACGCACTCAACAGGTTAAAGGCCTCAGTGCGTATCCTTTCGCACACCTGTTTGGACTTCGATAGAGCAGTCGAACCCTTGCCTTGTGCGAACAGCGCCTTCGTTTGTTACCTCAGGTCTTCGACCCGAGCGCCTTCCCTAAAAGGGGAAGAGAAAGGGTGGGGGGGAGGAAGGGAGACTAAGCTCTCGACAGGTTCCAATGAACCTCAAAAATGCTTCGGTCGCTCTGGCCACGTTGAGGCGTTAAGCCGGCTTAGACCGCTGCGGTCACGTAAAGGCATGAGCCAGCTTGGAATTCAATACATCACCAAGTCTTGGCAAATAACTTTGGCATAAGCCTACTCCGCCCGCTTTGGGCGCGTGCATCTCCGGGCACGGGAGATAAAGACAAACGCCCGTTCGACGGGTCCACAGGGGGCACTCCTCGGGCTCACGCTGGACTCTCACTGGGAGAGACACACTTATATGATTTTGCATACTGACTTGACAGCGGTGCCACACGCCAGCCTAAGTAAACCGCCTAAGGTTCCGGGGAGGAAGTTAGAGTCAGAGGCCTCCAAAACCTATAAAACGAAAACGAGCGGCGGCGACAGGGTGACGACCGATCGCGCAGGTCTGCGAAGCTCAAAGGCCCAAAGATCCAAAGAGAATCACCACTGCATCTTTACTGAAGGAAGCAACGAAGTAGACAGCTTGTGCTCTACGTAGGTTTCTCTCCAAGCAGGTACGTCAATCCGGCGTCCCGGATTGATTTCACCAGCACACATCCAGTGTCTTCGTTGGTGCAAGACTGGATGGGCTGCTTGGACCCTCTGCTTAACAAAAAAGAACACAATCCGAGTGGATCCCTGTGACTACAAGGGGCACACACACACACGTGTGCCCCAATCGAAGGAAGAGCTGGTGCTGGCTGATTGGTTGGACGACAACCAGGTCCTTGCGGTCAAGGTGATGTGCAGCGCAACCCTCAGCGCAAACCTCATGCGCTCTGATGTCAAAGCAAAGGCCAAGTGGAAGAGCGAGACGGATTGCGAACCTATCACGGCCCGCGATTTTGCCAAACACCATTACATCAAGTGCCTCCTTGGATGCGCGAATTCAGCGTCAGACGGCGCGTATCTCAATGTGCGGGCATGCCTTTTAGAGAACCATATAGGACACTTCAGCGATTGCCCATTTTCACCAGACGTCAACTTTTGAGGTGCGCGCAGCCACCAGAAAAGGACGCACCATTTTCACCAGACGTCAACTATCAAAGTGCGCGCTGCCACCAGAAAAGGACGCGCCATTTTCACCAGACGTCAACTTTTGAGGTGCGCGCAGCCACCAGAAAAGGACACGCCATTTTCACCAGACGTCAACTTTTGAGGTGCGCACAGCCACCAGAAAAGGACGCACCATTTTCTGCGCGTGATCGAGGTGGATGCGGCATCGCCCGATTTAGTTACCAACGCCTCGACCCAGAATCTTGCCGCCACGCTGGTTTTGTTCGAAGATGTTGGAAACAAGAGGTTTCCGAAAATGTTGGAAGTTGGCTGTTCCTTTTCTTTGGGGTCATACCTTAAATAGATTTCCGGCGTCGTTCAAAGGTGTTCCCTGGCAAATTCCTTGTGCGTTGAAGTTCTCCGCATCCCCATAGCGTGGAGTATGTATAGTTGCCGTGGCAATCCGTGGCATGTACTACCGTGGCATGTGCTTGACGGACTTAACGCAATCCCAGTGTAAGAATTGGACTGCATTAGTTTGGCCAATTGAGAAAGTGCAGGTGTTTCCCGTTGGGTGAGGGTTTTTCGTCTCCTTCGGAGTCTAGACTGATGATGCACGTCGGTGATGGATCGTTAAGTTTTTCACGGTCTGAAATTGGATGTGTTTGCTTCCTCGTAACAGGCTACTGCTCCAGTGAAACATCGAAACAGACTGACCCAAAACAGATGCTGTCAGCACTTTCACCCCTTCAGGATCGAAACACTTTCGTGAAAGTTCCTCTACAAACTAGTGGGCCTTGAGGCCACTATAGATCTATCATTGGTCCACCTCTTTTTACTTTCCGCATCATTTTGTAGACTGTTTTTAATGTTCGACTCAACCCACACCAGCCATTTTGTAGACAAACATGATGTCAAGGTCCAGCATGTTGTAGTAATTTTTTCAGAATTTAACATGGCATTTTGTAAGAACAACATTGATGGTCTCATGTTGTAGAGATTTTTGGGCTACCTGAGTCGAGTCTTCCACTGCATTTTGTAGAGAATTTTCCGGTGGCAGGACTCTCCTTATTTTCTGTCAAACGCGTTGCATCCGTTGTACATTGCCATGTAGGATCTTCGGCCAATGAATCCGAGCGCGAGATGGCCCGCCCATCATAGCGCTGCCGGTGCTCGGTGGTTGCCGAGGTGGAGGCGATCAGGGCGCGGCAAAGACGTCAAAGGGACACAGGACAGCCTCCACCAGGGCCCCCTGTTTGGGGTGTCTAATTATAGCTCCTTAGAGGTCAAGGGGTATCCACAAACCACCCCAAACAGGGGGCCCTGGTATTCGTTTCAATATGTTGAAATAAACATGTCGAGATAAAACATGCCTGTTACTGTTATTTCTCAAACAGTGTAATGTGCTATGAACTGTGGGGGCATATTGACACCACTCTTCCGTACTTTTCCTGCTGTGTTGGAATGATTTAATTTTGAATCCGCCAAGCTGTGGTATATTATATTCATTTGATCTTTGATCATTGAAGCCAAGCGGCGATTGCAGGTGGCATTGCAGCTTTGTACCCGAGGAAGTGCCTCGAAAGAAAGTGCAGCCACATACCTCGCCACATACGTGTGGGTTTTTTCAACATCACATGTCTTGGTGGAATTCCAGGTGGGTGCCACCCTGTCTACAGGGAGGACACCTCCCGGACTGTTCGGTGGACGACGGGGACCGTGGTCCGCCGGTCCGTACCGAGGCCTTTCATCGCTCCGGAAGGTCCGCCAGGACGGAGTGAGCCCGGCGACCGAGCCCCCGGCGACCGAGCCTTCGCTGTTTGGACGATCGGTGCGTAGTTCGTAGTTCCATGTTCAAGCAGTGTGCAGTTTGGACGCACAGGTTTGAGGGTAGAAGGCATGTTATATTTTACAGTGTTACAGTACGATACGTTTGCATGTTTAAAACTTATGGTTTGGTTTGAGGTAACGCAAGGACTGTTGTTAGTGGAATTAATCCCAAACCAAATCTTGCTTGGCCACAAGTGAAGGCCATAAAGCACCCCGGAGCAGTTCAATCGGACGTGTTTGTTTTTTCTTGTGGGTGAGTCAAGGTCCTGACCAACACCTGAAATGGTTCATGAAACGTCAAGAGAGGAAACGTTCATGCTGCCCCGACAGTTGAAAAAAAAGAACTATATATAGTTGCCATATATTATATATAATTGACCCCCTCAAGGCTTTCTGCTCAAATTACACATGGTGGTATACACGGGGCTTTGTACTTGGAGCCAAGAGTGTTGAGCGGGCCTTGACGGTTGATTGAGTTGAATTGAATACACATAAATCACATAAATACCAGCATAGACCCTTCAAGGCTCCTGGCTCGAATTTCAAGCGGTGGTATCACAGGGCTTGGGTCTTGGAGCCAGGAGCTTCGAGCAGGGTACAGTAGTATCACTCGAAACATTTGTGGAGTTGTATTTTGTGTTAACGTTCGTTCAAGGCTTATAATGGAAAACATAGACAGTGACTTGTTCATCCAAGCTGACATTCTGGAACCAGTCGTCAATCGACAGGACGGTATTTTCCTTGGTCCTCCTTCGGTGCAGTGGGCGCGCCACTCGACGAAAGGGCCGCCACTCAGCCAGCAGTGCTAGAAGTAGTGTGGACCCTGATGCAAGTGTATTCTGGTACATTCGCATCCCTCAACTTGACAAGACGTAATTGGTTTTAGGTTCACAAAAATTGCCAGACAAACCTCTATGACCCTTCCAGGTGTCTCTGTACGTGGATAGGGCCTCTCTTCGTGGTAGGTCAGTGGTTTGACTGTGGTGTGCTGACATAGCATGAGTGCTTACACATGCTTACACATTAACTAAAGATTAATCATCGAATACTCAGGACCACAGGAAGCCCGTTGTAGTTCTACCCGATTGTTCAGAGGAAGCTGCGGAAGCAAAGAAAAAACATCTCCCAGCCTGCCATTTAATTTAAAGGATTAATGAATATACACATGCTTGAACATGCATCAACTGACACTGCTCATAGGAAGGGTCTTCAACGGGGGGTCTGTACTGTAATGGGGTGTGTTGGCAATCTTTAGCGTGTGTTTCTGGGCCAACATTAGAATTTTAAAGAGGCCCGCTGCCCGTTGGAAAGAGGCCTAGTCTCACTTTAATAATACCACGAGGGTCAAGGGCGAACTTGTATTTGGCATTATTTGGCAATTGAAATCCAGCCTCATGTGCTTTGGGTTTGTTCCAGGTCCAAGCATGGATCAAAGAAGGCAGTAACTCAGTAATAGCTGAAAGGTGTTGTTTATTTTGTTGATCCCTTTGTTTGGAATTGTATGGAATAGGGAATGTTGGGAGGATGAGGGACGGAATGTCATCGAGAGTCCCGCAAGCAGGGGGCATATCCTGGACGTCGTTTTGAACAAAAGGTTGCTTTGCCACAAGAATTTCGCCCCTAGTTTTGGCTTCACCCCGGCAAAGTGCATGGCTTGAAAGCCTTGCTTTCTTCCAGAAACTCAGTTGAACGAGTAATAATCAAGCACTGAAAGGGCTCGCGATGATGATTCCCCCCTGCCCCGCCTCCTTGCTGTTTCCATTGGTCCATTTCTTATCGGCTCAATTCACTTTCATGTATGTTCGTGCAGGTGTTTGTTCAGGTGTTTTTCTGGTCCTTGTCTCCCTCAACAAAAGCGAACATATCGTTATTTAACAAACACACACACACACAGCTCTATAGCTAAACACGGCTATATGTTTGTGTTATAAAAAGAAGCAGTTTGTTCACTATAGAGCAGTTACTAAAGGAAACCACCGCTCTTTGGAGACGTTCCAGGTCATGAGGCGCTTCACCCCTTGGAAGCGCTGGAACTTGCTTCCCTTCGGCCACGGCGCTGCAGCTGTGGCGCTCGCTTGCCGAGGAGGCCGGTGTCACCGGGAGTTTGCGTCAAACCAGGTCCAGGTGTTTTTTGGAGGGTAAGACATGACAAGCACGAGGAAATACAACACCGCAATAGATTTTGCAAAAACACAGACAAATATACAGAAGTGGTCATGACTGACGAGGGTCAGAGACTTACAGGATCTTACAGGTTTGATGATGCGGCACTTTCACCAGACACGTACTGTACTTGATCTGCAGCCTTCAAGGCTTTGGTCGCATCAGCAAGGCTGTGAGGTCGCCTTGGTCACGTCGGTATGTCACTTACCAGTGGAGTGGGTCGCCGTGGGCGTCAGGCCCAAGTTCCTCTCGCTGATCGACGTCTATCGGCCTTGGGGCAACGTTGCCAAACACGTCGAGGGCGGCCCGGCGGCGGCTTGGATGGGGCGTCAAAAGGGGATGTGCCGGCATTATCTAAACATTCAGTGAAGTGAAGTAGCAAATCAAACAGATGCCCAATACACGTCATTGCACAGGTTTGACCGAAGTGGTCGTGCATTTTCAGGGAACACTGGCAGTTCAACTGTTTGTCCAGGTATGAATCATGAGCACCTAGGACTACATAGCACTTTTGGGGATAGAACCCCCAGAATCGGAGTCCTCGACGTTGTCATGAGCGATCGGACCTGACGAACGGGGCGCAACTGGCCTTACTACTAGGAGCAATCGGACGTTACTCGGGCATCGTAGTCCTCATATGTCTTTGCAGAACTCTTGGGGTACTACATGATGCCTTCAGCCAAGCGAGATGGATCCTGACACACCTTCTTGGCGTGGGGGATCCGCCAAGGAGACAGGCAGCGGCTTGGTCTTGCGCTTTTTGCAGGCCAAGCCCCAGGTCTGGGCTGCACTTTTGAGGCGCTTTCACGAGTTTGGGTGTCATGGGATCTTTCCAGGTGTAGGAGCCAAAGCACAGGAGAACAGGGTCGAATCATAGAAGAACATGCAGGGCAGTCTAGTCTCTGACTGGTTTGTCATGGTTTTTTTTCTATGTTTTTCTTTGACTCTTGACACTGTAAGATTGTGATAGATTGTGTAAAAGAAGGGGCCGGGTTCCGGTGGACATGTTTGCCAGGAGAGTCAGGACTTCGTAAAGGCATTGATATGCATTGTATCACTCGCCAGAAAACAACCCCACTGATTGAGACCTCAATTAGCAACTAGCAACTACTTGTTCCAGGATGTTTCCAGGTCTCAGGACGTGTCATTAAAACCAGACATGCTGTGCTGTTCGAAAACAGGCATGATCGAAACGGATGTTCAGTCA